TCAAATTTGTTTTTTATTAAATATGTTCATCCTTTTAGAGAATTACTTTGCTTCTTGATTATAGATTCTTTCCATGTTTTCAAGGAGAATTTCGTCATTTTCTGTGAGATTATCATTCAATAGCACCCTTTCTCCATACCCATTCCTCCTTTCAAAGCCTTCCTTTTCAACCACCTTCACTATGACAAAATTCATGGCCTCTTTTCACAGTAATTGCTAGTGATTGTATTTCAAAATATCTATGTGTACACACACACACACACACACACACACACACACACACACACACACACCCTGTTCAGTCTAATAATAGTACCTGTATGTATGTTTTCATCTTGGCTTTTTGGTACCAGACAGTGAATTGATGTATCCTTCTCTGGGTATTCCCTCCTTCCTGTTCCCTGGTTCTGTCAGTTTTCTATCCTCCTCTGAATAGTGTTGAAGCCTCGTGGGCTTTTCTCTGTCCAGTTTGTGTATGTAATTTGGCCATTCTTGTCCAGTCCATGTTTAAGTAGTCATGTTTGTGAGATACTATGTTTGTTTCTACTGATATTACTAGGTCTTAGAGCAAATTCCCTGACCCTCTGGCTCTGATGTTCTTTCAGCCCCTCTCTTGGGTAATGTTCCCTTAGTCTTATCTTATATGCAGAAGAGTTCTGTAGATGTATCCATAAGGATTGGACCCCACCACTCTCTGCTTTGATTGGTTGTGGATTTTTGTAATGGACTCTGGCTGTTGCAAACGACAGTTTCTTTGATGAAGAGTAAAGACTACAGTTACCAGCCAGGCGTTGGTGGCGCACGCCTTTAATCCCTCCACTCGGGAGGCAGAGCCAGGAGGATCTCTGTGAGTTCAAGGCTAGCCTGGGCTACCAAGTGAGCTCCAGGAAAGGCGCAAAGCTACACAGAGAAACCCTGTCTTGAAACACCCCCCCCCCAAAAAAAAAAAGACTACAGTTATCTTCAGGTGTAAGAACAATGTTTATAAATTGTTGTTAGGGATTGTGCTATTTTAGTAAGTAAGTGGTTTTAGATTTTTCTCCAATAATCATCATTTATTCAGCACACAATTTTCAACTGGGTTTCAAGTACAAGGCAATCTCTCCCTCTTGTTGAGCTAGTGTTTGCAAGTAAAGAACTGTTGATTACATAGGAGGTCTGTGTTCCACTACTGCATACTTAGACCTACCATGCTATGATGGGCATTGTTACACATCAGGTAACCATAATGGTAGCCTTCTTTATGACAAGGCTATAGTAGAGCATATGCATTAGTATTAGATGCTTTATTATTTTGGAAAACATAGTAGATTAAGCATAATATGTTGTAGTTTTAAATGTATATAATCTTTGTGTTTCATTTCATACCTCAATAAAGCTAAGAAAAAATGCAAGGGCAAAACAGTCACCAAACCACGGAAAGTTCAAGGTGGATTTTTTGAAGATGAAGAAGCTGCTCTAGGTGAATGCTCATGGTTGTGTGTATATGTATTATATTATAAATATGAATTATATATTAAAATTATATGTGAATAAATTTAAATATATGAAAAATACCTTTTGAATATATAATCGATAGATAGATAGATAGATAGATAGATAGATAGATAGATAGATAGATAGATAGATAGATAGATGAGATTCCCAAGTTGTTTATCATGTATTGAATGATGGTGTAATGTTTTTATAAGGAAATACTTTTTTTCTTTTTATAAGGAAATACTTTTTTCTTTTTTCAGAGACATTTTCACTGTGATTAGTCAAATTTGTTATTACAATTTTTTTGAGAATTACATTGTTTTCTGATTATAGCTTTTTCATATTTTCAAAGAGAAAATTCTTTTATTTTGAGATTATAGTTTAATTTCAACCTTTCTTTCTACCTGATCCTCCCACAAAAGTTAGTATATACCCCTCCTTCTCTCTGCCAAATATGTCCTTTTTTCTCACTAATTGTTAGTGCTTGCATTCAAGAATATCTATGTACACATATAGCCCTGAATATAACTTGTTCATTCTGTATAGTAATACCTGAATGTATTTTTCACGACTGTCTTCTTACACTAGAGAGTGAATTGGTATGCTCTTCCCTGGTGATTTCCACCTCTCCAGTTCCTACATTTCTTGAGTTTTCTAGCATTCTTTGAGTTCTTTTGTGTGTAGGATTTAGGCCTTATAGGCTTTTCTCTGTCCAGTTTGTATATGTATTGCAGTCATTCTTGTTCATCTCATGTTTGAGCAATGATGTTAGTAATTTCTCCTGATATTACTAGGAGATTCAGTCTCAGATTAAACTTCCTCACCCTTTGGCTCCTTGATTGGTTGTGGTTTTCTAAGATGGTCTTGTTGCAAACAAAAATTCCCTTGATAAAGAGTAAAGACTTCAGTTATCTACAGGTGTAAGAACAATGTTTATAGATTGTTGTTAGGGATTGTGCTGTTTTAGTAAGTTAGTGGCTTTAGATTCTTCTCCAATAATCATAATTTGACCAGCACAGAGATTTTAGCTGGCTTTCCAGTGTCACACATTCTCTCCTTCTTGGTCAGAGAGTCATAAGTCCAAGTAAATAGCTGTTGCTTATAAAGAAGTTGTTCCACTGCTGCATACTTAGAGTTATCATGCCATGATGGGCATGTTACACATCACATGAGCTTGATGATAGTCTTCTTTATGACAGGCTATATTAGAGCATATGCATTAGTATTAGATGCTTTATTATTTGGAAAACAGTTAATTATACATAATGTGTTTTAGCTTTAAATGTACACAATCTCTGTCATTTCATACTTCAATAAAGCTGAGAAAAAGCGCAAGGGCAAAACAGTCACCAAACCATGGAAAGGCCAAGGCGGACTTTTTGAATATGAAGAAGCAGCCCCAGGTGATCGCTTTTTTGTTATTTTTGTTTGTGGTGTTTTTTAATCTATATTTATTCTCATGTTTGCTGTGTATTGAATATTGGTGTAATATTTTTAGAAGGAAAGACTTTTTCACTTTTAAGAAAACGAATATAAGAAGTAGTATGATGAAAAATTTGTAGAAATTTTCAGTTTGATAAGTCCAATTTGTCTCCTATTGTAGTAAGTTTATTGTTTTGAAGAATTAGATTTTTCCTGATTGTAGATTTTTTGTTTTCAAAGAGAACATTTTCTTTTTTAATATAATGATTAAATTTCATGCTTTCTCCTTACCCTTACCTTCCCCCAAACCTCCCATGTATGCCTCTAACTCTGCCAAGTGTATGGACTCTTTTCTCAGTAATTTTTAATGCTTTCATTCAAGAATATCTATGTGGCTGGGCATGTGTGGCACATGCCTTTATTCTCAGTTCTCTGGAGGCAGAGGAAGGCAGATCTTTGTAAGTTCAAGGCAAGCCTGTTCTGAAGAGCTAGTTCCAGAACAGCCAGGGCTGTTACACAGAGAAACCTTGTCTCAAAAAACCAAAAGAAAATAAAAAAGAATATCTGTATACACATACAGCCCTGAATATAACTTGTTTGGTCTGTATAATATAACTGCATTATATTTTCATGGCTGGCTTTTTCACATCAGACAGTGAAATGGTGTGCTTCTGCCTGGGGATTCCCATCTCTCCCATTCCCTGTTTTCTTCAGTTCTTTTGTGGAGGATTGAAGCTTCATGTTCTTTTCTCTGTCCAGTTTGTATATGTATTAGTGTCATTCTTGTTCAGCTCATGTTTTGGCAGTGATGTTCATGAGTTTTTATGTGGATTTCTGTAGACTGAAGTTTCTCGGTCCTGCCCTGTCCCACCCGGGCAGTAGCTATTTTAATAAAATAATCACTCGGAGGCTTAATATCAATTACAAACTGATTTGTGAATCAGGCTTATTGCTAGCTAGCAATTACATCTTAAATTAACCCATTTTTATTAATCTATGTGTTGCCATGTGTCTCGTGGCTTTACCTGTATCCTAATACATCTTGTTTCTCTGGGCAGGTTACAGCATCTCCCTCCGTCTGCCTTTTTTCCTCCTGTATGTCTGTTTGGATTTCCTGCCTGCCTCTCTCCTGCCTTACCATAGGGCCAAAGCAGTTGTATTTATTAACTAGTGGGAGCAATACATATTCACAGCGTACAGAAAGACATCCCACATCATATTTCTCCTGATATTACTAGGAGACCCTCTGGCTCTTTACAATCTTTCTACCTCCTCTTGAATAGAGTGCAGGAATGTTCTATAGAAGCATCCATTCTGATTGGGCTGTACCACTCTTTGTTTTGATTAGTTTTGATTTATTGTAATGGTCTCTGTGTGTGACAAACAAGTTTTCTTGATGAAGAATGAAAACTACTAATATCTGTGGGTATGAAGACAAATGTTAATAGATAGTTGTTGGGGCCTATGCTGGTTTAGTTAAATTAGTGGTTGCAGGTTATCATCCAATAACCATCACTTCTCTAGCACAGAAGTTTTAGCTAGGTTTCTAGTGCCAGTTATAGTTTCCCTCATGTTGCTTAGTTCTTAAGTCCCAAGTAAAGAGTATTTGATTACTGCCAAGGTATACATGCCACTACTACTGTGTCCTTAGAGTTATTGTGCCATGTTGTACATTATTAAATGTCATATGAATATGATGGTAACCTTTCATGACTATGCTACATTAGAAGCTTTATTATTTAGCATGTATACTGGAACATAATGTGTTACAGCTTTAAATGTACATAATACTTTTCATTTCATATCTTAACAAAGCTGCGAAAAAACGCAAGGGCAAGACAGTCGCCAAACCTTGGAAAGACCAAGGTGGAGATTTTGAAGATGAAAAAGCTGCCCTAGGTGATTGCTTTGATTTTTTTTTTAATCCATATTGATTCACAAGACGTTTGCCATATATTGAATAATGGTGCAATGTTATTAGAAAACAAGACCATTTTTCACTTTTAAGGAAACAAGTATAAGTACCACAATGATAAATTCATAGAAATTTTCACTGTGATAAGATTCATGACTATGCTGCATTAGATGCTTTATTATTTAACATGCATACCGGAACATAATGTGTTCCAGCTTTAAATATGCATATTTTTTTTTTCATTTCATACCTCAACAAAGGTGAGAAAAAACGCAAGCGCAAAAGAGTCAGCAAATTTTGGAAAGAACAAGCCAAACTTTTGGAAGATGAAGAAGCAATTCCAGGTGATTGCCTTGCCTTGTTTTGCTATATTGGTTTACAAGATATTTGATCAATATTAAATGATAGCATGTTCTTTTCATAATGGGTGACAGTTTTTGTTTTAAGAATTCCAATATAAGAAGTAACACTATGATAAATTGATACAATTTTCAATGTGCTAAATCAAATTTGCTGGTTATTCTAACAAATTCATCTTTACAGAATTAAATTGTTTCCTGATTATGAAAATTTAATGTTTCTGAAATTTCATTTTGACTGGCATTCTTGTTTAAACAATGTTTTATTTTTTAATGATTTTATTTATTGTTAAATAATTTATACCTTATATTTTGATCTTATCACGTCCCCTCCCCCAACTCTTCCAATGTCTTTTCCTCACCTTGCTTTGTGTAGGATATTATATTTCTTCTCTTTCTTAACAAAAAATGGAAAACTTAAAAATTAGGTGTTCAATTTGTGTTCATGTACTACTGAATATTGTACCTGCCCTACAGTGGCTGATATGTATCATGTTACTCTATTGAGGAAAATTGGTTTGTCTTTCATAGCAGCTATCAATTCTTAGCTAAGAATTGAGACTTTATATCTACTTCACATCATCCATGCTGAACTTTTTTTCTGGTTTGAGCTTGTATATGTCCTGTGCATTTTTTCATGTTCTTTTGGATATGTGTCTTCTCTGTTGTTTCTGGAAAGTACTCTCTCATCAAAGTCCTCTGTCCCTCTGGTTAGAATCTTTCCACCTGCTTTTCCACATAGATAACTGAATATTGAGGGGATGAGAATGATACAGACATCTCATTTAGGGTTGAGCACTCCAAAGTCTCTCACTATCTGCAGGTGGTCTAGTTGTAGCTCTCTTTTTTAATTACCAACCACTGCAAGAACCTTCTCTGAAAATTATTTCGTGTATCACCAATCAATGACTAGTGATCATTCATAATCAATAGCAGTATGTCATTCATCTAGGAGTCATTTTATTACTATGACCACTTATAAGAATTATACTAGTAAGATTTCTCCTAGGACACTTGGCCTATGTTGTCACAGTTTTTTTTCTTCATTACCAGTATCAGTTTTGGGGTCCATCTCATGGAGTGGGCCTTAAATCTAGTCATAAACTAGTTGATTACTCCAAAGAAAATTTTTGCTACTATTGTGCCAGTGAGTATATCTAGCAGGCAGATGGTTATTATAGCCTGCTCATTTTGTAGCTTGTTGAGACTGATGATTGCTTTTCTTCTCTGATAATATGTATAGCAACTTTTCACATTATGAACCAATAGAAGTGAATCTTTCATTTTCATACCACCTGTGGTTTTCCATGTTCCTTGACATTGTACGTGGTGTGTTCAGCAAATTAAAACTACTTTGAGATTCTTACCCTCAAGTTGTAGAGGGCAACCACATTGGTAGTGCCCTGTTGTGTTAGATGTGGGATCTGTGGGACCCCTTTGGCTAACACCTCAAAAAGTGGTAACCGATTCCTGGTACTGGGTTAGTTTTTGGTAGTTTATACTGTAGAGTTGGTGTGTTGTCCCTCTATTATAAGGTCACTGCACTTGAACTCATTTTATATTTGTTTATATTTCAGGAAGCCTTTATTAAAGTAGGTTTCCATTTGGGTTTTTAAGAGGTTTTTTTAATTTTTCCTCCCCATGTTCTCTCCTCTATCCTCCCTGTCATATCCCACCCCCTTTAATTCTCTTGTTCTAATTTCCATATTATAGCACTATCTATTTCCTGCTCCTTGGAAGATCCCATCCTCCCCTCTGGTCCCTTTCTACCTACCTAACCCCTGTGGGTATTATAAAAGAAACACACATACTTAAAGCATAAAAGCTAACATCTGCATATAAGAGAAAATATATATTATATTTCATTCTGGATCTGTATTACCTTACTTTGGATGATTCTTTTCTAACTTCATCTGTATACCTACATATATTAGATAGTTTCATTTTTCTTAACAGTTGAATAATAATCCATTGTATAAATATATCACGTTTTCATTACCATTCATAAGTTGATAAATATCTAAGCTCTTACCAATTTCTAATTATTATGAATAGAGAAGTAGTAAGCATGAATGAGCAAGATCTCTGTGTTAGGATATAGAATTCTGTGGGTATATTCCCAAGAGTGGTACAGCTGGATATTGAGGTAGATCAATTTCCCATCTTTCTTTAGCAACTGCCATGCTGATTTCCATAGTGGCTGTACAAGTTTGCACTCCCACCAGCAATGGATAAGTGTTTTCCTTACCCCAATCCTGGCCAATATGAGTTGTCATTTGTTTTATTGGCCATTCTGACTTGAATGAGATTTTATGTGTTTTCCTGGTGCTTATGGATGTTGAGTATATTTTATAGGTTTTTCAGCCATTTGTGTTGCATCTTTTGAGAACTCTTTTTCATTATATATCCTGTTTTCTAATTGAGGTAATTGTTTTCTTGATGTCCAGCTTTTAAAATTCTTTGTATATTTTAGATACACTAACTTTCTGTCAGATCTATAGTTGGTAATGTTGTATTTTTTACATTCTGTCTGGTCCTTTTTGCTCAATTTATTGTGTCCTTTGCTGTACAGAAGTTTCTTAGCTTCATGAGTTCCCATTTATTAATTTTCATTTTAATGTCTAAACTATTTGGCTCCTGCTCAAAAAGTTCTTTCCTGTGCCAATGGGTTTAATTGTTTTCAGTACTTTCTGTTCTATCAAATTCATTGTATCAGGTCTTATCTTGAGGTCCTTGATCCAGTTGGAGTTGTTTTGTGCTGGGTGATAGATGGATCTTGTTTTCATTCTTCTACGTGAAGCTATGCAGTTTAACCAGTATCATTTGTTGTAGATGCTGTCTTTTCTCCGGTGTGTATTTTTGTTTCTTTGACAAAAATTAGGTGTCTGTAGGTGTGTGGGCTTATATTCAGGTACTTAACTCTATTCCATTGTTCAGTATATCTATTTTTATGCCAACTTCATGCTTGTTTGTATTAATATAACTCTGCAGTAAAACTTAAACTCAGGAATGGTAATAACTTCAGCAGTTTTTTTGTTTGTGATTGTTTTAGCTATCCTGATTGTGTATGTTTCCATATGAAACTGAAAATTATTTGTTACATTTATGTGAAGGATTGTGTTGTAATTGTGATGGGGATTGCATTGGATCTGTAAATTTCTTTCAGTATGATGGCCATTTTCACAATATTAGTCCTCCCCAATCAATGAGCATGGGTAGTCTTTGCATCTTTTTATGTCTTCAGCTTTTTAAATTTTTTATTATACAAAGTCTTTTATTTACTTAGTTTGAGTGGTTCCAATATGTTTTTTGAGGCAATTGTGAAATTGTATGATGTTGCTTTGCTATATGGTTTGCTTCCCTGATTTGTTATTTGTATATAGGAAGCCTACTTATCTTTGTGTGTTAATTTTATATTCTGCTATTTTTTTTTGTTGATAAACACCTTTAGTAATGTGGTAGGATACAAGATCAGTTCAAAAAATCAGTAACCCTGCTATATACAAATGATAAATGGGCTGGGAAAGAAATCAGAGAAACATCAACCCTTTCACCAGCCACAAATAATGTAAAAGACCTTGGGGTAACTCTAAGCAAGTGAAAGACCTGTATGACAAGAATTTTAAGTCTCTGAAGAAAGAAATTGAAGAAGGTATCAGAAAATGGAAAGATCTCCCATGCTCATGTATAGATAGGATTAACATAGTAAAAATGGCAATCTTACCAAAAACAATCTACAGATTCAATGCAATCCCCATCAAAATCCCAACACAATTCTTCACAGACTTAGAAAGAAGAATACTCAACTTCTTATGGGAAAACAAACAAAAAAACAGGATAGCTAAAATAATTTTGTACAATAAAGCAACCTCTGGAGGCCTCACCATCCCTGCTATTTTGTTTAACATATTTATCAGCTATAGAAGTTTTCTGGTGTAGTCTTTGAAGTCTTTTATGTATAAAAATGCATATCATCTCCAAATGATGATACTTTGATTTATTCCTTGCTTATGTGTAGACACTATATTGAGTATGGAAAGAGTCTGATTAAGTCGAAATGTTTTGTTGTTTTTGTATTGTTTTGTTTTTGTTTTTCCCCATTTAGAAGGAATGTTGATATGTGTACTTGTTATAAAGTGCCTTTATTGTGTTGAGATATGTCCCACATATTCTTGATCTCTTCAGGACTTTTATCAGCAATGTTGAATTTTGTCAAAGGCCTATTCTCTTATCTTTTTGAGGTGATCATGTGGTTTCTGTCCTTTGGTCTTTTTATATGGTGGATTATATTTATTGATTTACATATGTTGAATCATTTCTGCATCTCTGGTATGAAGCTGAATTGATAGTGAATAATCTTTTTGATGTATTCTTGGATTTGGTTTGTAATATTTTATTGAGTTTATGATCTATATTCATGATTGATAATTGGTTTATTGTTTTCTTTTTTGTTGGATCTTTGTGTGGTTTTGGTAACAGGGTAATGATGGCCTTGTAAGAAGAATTTAGGATTGCAGAATAATTTGTAGACTAGTGTCATTAATTCTCTTTTGAATACCTGGTAGAATTATATGCTGAACCATCTGTCCATTGGCTTTTTATAGTTGGGAGATTTTTAGTTACTGCTTCTATCTTACTAGGAGTTATGAATCTACTTAAATTACACTTACTTTATCTTGATTTAACTTTGATAGATTGTATATTTTAAGAAATTTGTTTCCTTTAGGCTTTCCAGTTTAGTGGAATACAGATTTTTTTTAAAATATGCGATTATGATTCTCTTAATTTTCTTAGTATCTGTTGTAATGTCTTCCTTTTCATCTCTAAGTTTGCTAATTTGAATCTTGTTTAAAATAGTTTTCATGAGTAACCCTTGAGAACTTTTAAAGATATGCTTAAAGTTTTTTGAGTCATATGATAGTGTTTTTAACTATATCATTTTCTTTAATTTTTGTTTCTAAGCTCTTTTCTCAGCTCTTTCAGTGCACAGTGCAGAGAACACACCGCCTTCCTCTGCTGAACAAACAAAATCTTCCACTTCTGAGAAAACAAAGCCTTCCACCTCTGAGAAAACAAAGTCTCCCACCCCCAAAGGGGCTCAATCTTCAAAGATGTCTCCACGGAAAACAGCTATTGTACTACCAGTAACAAAGGCCAGCAAGAAGTCAGTACAAACTAAGCCAACTGGAGATACTTCAGCTACTAAGAAAGGCATTACTGTTAAGCTTATCCTACCAAAGAAAATAGGTGGAAAGTCAGGAAAAAAGGTTAGTCATATCTCTTGCTAATTTGTATTGTAAGTCTTTGTATTGGAGTATTATTTTTAACATACAGGTTAGCAATTGACTAAAACTATACTGAAGGTTTTAGGACTGTTTTAAATGTATAAGGCTCTTTTTGTCTTAGTAAGATTTTCTATTTTGAGAAACAAAAGCAATTTATGAGAAACTTGTACTTCTAGATTACAGTTCATCATCAAGGGCAGTCAAGGCAGGAACTCAAATAGGGCAGAGAGGGGAGCTGGAGTTCGGTGGAACAGTAGTAATATCTAAAGTAAAGTAGTCATTGGACAGAATTAACTAGTATTTACTGATGATGAAAGAACAAAGAGTAAATGAGTTGGAGAATAGAATAGAAACTATCCAATGTGAAAAACTGGTACAGAATTTAAAATACTGAGAAAGAGAGTAAGTTGATATTTTTGTTACATGTGTAATTAGTCAGGAGGAAGCGAGGCAGGGGTAGATTGGGAGAGGAAAATAGTGAAGAAATTTTTTTCTTATAATCATTTCTAGTCCTGCACAGTTTACATCACAGATAGATATAAATATATAAATAATTTACAATATGAAAGCCTGAATGTAGAAGATAAGGATCTATATAATTTTAGTTCCAACATCTTATGTGAAATGGTACATTATGAATTTTTATTTGAAAATTATTCAGGTAAGGATGAGCCTCTAGTCTTAATGTAAAAAATGTAGAGAAGTATGTGTACCTAAAAATCCAAGGAAGAAAATAAAATGCAATTTAAAGTATTCAAATAACCCCTCAAAAGATAGGATAAGTGGAACCACTACAACAAAAAAAGAATAAAGGAAACAAATAGAAAGTGCATAATAAAATGGTTTACTCAGAACTAAATATAATAATAATTATGTTAAACATTAATGAATTAAATTATTCAATAAAAGGCTGAGATTTAAAAAACTGGAATTTTAAAAATAGTGTCTATAAGACATGCACTCTAAATATAAAGGTAAAAATATCTCAGTATTATCTTATACATCTAATATGTCCATGTGATATCAACATAACGTTTTTTTCTATGAATGTTTGCCATATGTAACAAATAATGTCGTTTTTAAAATACTTACATTATCATTTCTGTTTAAAACATTGAAAATTTATAAAAATCAGTATGAAATATTTGTAAATATATTATGATAAACATAAAAAGATTACTATAAAGCAGTAACATTTTAAAGGGAAATAAAATTATGAAAAGTTGATCTTGAAATTTAATGTGAAGTTATATTTGAAAAAACATGTATTTTCACCTGCTCAGAAAGTTAGTGTAATAGTAGCAATAATATCTTTTTACTCCTATGTTTTCTAGTATCAATACTAATATAATTTTGAAAAGGTATTTTGGTACACATTATTTAATGATATATATAAAGAACTAGTAGTATATTTCATAATTTGTATTTTTTCAAAAGTATCATTTCAGTTCACTATTATCTAACTTCATTATTTTATATGAAAAATAAAGATGTTCACAGTTTAATAACTGAGAGTTTTTGAACTATATAAAATATTCTTAAAATAGACTCTATGGTGATATTTTATTTGTACTGAAATGTGATTTTAATTTTATGTTAATAAATAAAGTTGCCCTGGGGTCAGAGCTATTAGAGCCATAGCAAGAGCGTGGTGGTTAGAAGAGCTAGGTAGATTTCTGTGTGTTCAGGGAGACAGCCAGTATTGGAGACATACGCCTTTAAGACCTGGAGGGCGGTACTTACAGGCAGTGATGAGGCAGTCATGTGGTTGGGTTTACAACCAATGAGAAGGCAGAACAGAAAGACTATTTAAACACAGACAAACAGGAAGTAGTTCTCTTTCGGGGAAGCTAGGAGCACTGCAGGAGGTAAGATTTTATCTCGGAGCTCTGACCTTTCGGCTTTCTCTTTTACATTGGCTCTGTGTTTCTTATTTTAATAAGATGATTGGTTATATCTACAAGACTCCTTTATGAAATATCATTTTTCCTACATTTTAGATGTTAGCACAGGGGCTAGAGAGATTGCTTAGCAGTTAAGATCACTGACTGCTCTTCCACAGGGCCTGCGCTTGATTCCCAGCAACCACATGGCAGCTCACATCCCTCTGTAGCACCAGTTCCAGGAATACAATGCCCTCTTCTGTGGACACAGGCATACAAATGCAGGCAGAACATCTATACACATAAAATTTAATTTAATCAAATTTAAGTTTAGAAACTTGAAAAATTTTGTTAGTAAATTTTCTAAATAGTTGTATTTGTTCAAGTTGAAATATTAAACATTATCTTTCATCAAAGGGTTCAGAATTTTGAAACATTGAAAAAACAAAATTTGTAATTCAATACTTGGCATGATTTACTAGTCCACTGTGAATCCAGATAACAGTCATTAATTTAAAGTTTATTGCAGCAACCTTAAATGATACTCTTGTGTTTTACTCTTTTGTCTTTTTGTCATAATTTCTCTAGGCACAAGAGTCTTTTCTTGTGATAAAGCAGGTGTGTTTGAAAGTAGCTCCTAGAAAAAGTCCAAGATTTCACATAAGCAGAATACTAGTAATATTCAACTGTGTTTAAGAGATATTTGTCTCTTATGTGCAGCAAACAGTCTTCACCAAATTACTTACAATTTTATGAAGATTATTGGTGGCTAGACACAATGGGAATGAACAGCTGCTTTCTAAAGCCCTCTGCCTTTTTGAGGTTATTTTTGCCTATTAGAAAAGAGATTTATAGAATTAACAGTGATAAAAATGTCTTGCATTAACCCTCAAAAATTTTTTGAGGTTAACAGGTTTTACACAGTTAACCAATTTGACTAAGGTATCAACAGAAGATACAATAAGGAATCCTACCTAGCCTTTTGGTCTCTTTCTCTGGAACCTGAACAGCTTGTGGGCCTGAGTTCATTTTCCAAAGGATTGCAGGTCTTGGTACCCAGAAGGTTTTCAGCCTTTTTTTTTAAACTAATGATTTTGTGATCCAGTAATGTCTATCTTTTTTTTTTCTCATCTAAAAGCTCTTAAAAGAGAACATATACCTGAATTCTTTATTCCTTTTTTTAAAACAGGAAAAATGTATTCCAGTTGTTTCTTCTACATCCTCAGCTTCTCTCAGTTCACTGATGAAAAGCTCTTCATCTAATAAGTCTTCTGCAGGGCCATCTAAAATAGTGATGTCTACAGGTAAGTTAGTATTTTCTAGAAATGAGTAAACAATGTATTTGGTAAGCTAGTAGTTCAGCTTAATGTTAAGCAAAACCAGTCTATTTCAATAAATATTCAACATTTTGAATTTGTGTCATTATCAAATCTTTCTTCTTTAATTTCAAAGTACTTTGTCATTTTGTATATGTGTTTTCCAAGGTAACTCATGCCTTTTGAAAATAATGTTTCTGTCAAAGGACATGGTGATTTTAAATTCTTCTCTGGTATGTTTGAAAGAGCACAGACCAAAGCAAATTCTTTTTTATTCACCCCTATATATTTCCTTAATCTTAATTTTCCTTTCATTTTTATTTTGTATGTATGAGTATTGTGTCTACATGTGTATTTGTGCACCATGTATGTGCCTTGTACCCAGACAAGAGTGTCAGAATATCAGATATCCTGAGACTAGAGACACAGACAGTTGTAAGCTGTCATGTGTGTGCTGATAAGCAAACCCAGTCCCTCTGGAAATAGCAGCCAGTGCTCTTGAGCCAGCTCTCTAGCGCCCCATTCATGTTTTTAAAAAGTGTGTCCTATTATTTCTTTTATATCCTTAATTACCTCCTTTATACTCTCACATTTCTTTTTTTTCTCACTTAAAGGGCATTATTTTTTGAAATACCACTTGTTTTTCAAAGATTCATTTAGCACACTTCATTTCTTATTATTTATCATTTTTAATCCACTAGCTAAATGAATACAAGTTGATCATGTCTAATCCAAGAATGTGAACTTTGAACCTTTTGAGCACTGACATGACACCAGAAGTAAAAATCACCTGACTTCATATGACAGGTTTCAATCAAAACACAAGTGCCCCCAAATTATTATATCAGACTACCTTCAAACTTTGTGTATAAAGTGTATAAGAAGTATACATGAATTTTATGCTCAGACTTATGTCCTATCTTCAAGTTATCTCATTATGTTTGTACTAAATTTTCTGGTACCAATCATTTCATCTAAGGGATGCTCAACAAGTGAGGTAAAAATATGATAAAACATTGAAATCCTTCCTTTGCTTTACTTCCTGAATGTATTTGTGCCATTATCACCTTGGGCTGAGGTTAATCACTGCTTCATTTTTGTTGACTGAGCATATCCTTCTGTCTGTTGGGACAAGTTAGATTACCATATATTTCCACCCAGTGAAACTGAGATGAATGGGTTTTTAGTATACTAAATATATATAATTTTTCAGTACAGATGAATAGCTTAAAATGTCCTTGATTTAAGAAAGTAATAGTTTTGGTAATGATAAACCTGCATGTTTTTATAGTACACCTTGATTTGCCTTTGTTGATTTAAATTATCTGTACTTGACACCGTAATTATAGATGGGAAACTTCTATGTTGTATGTTTTTATTGTACAAAGAAAACAGTTTAAAATTTCCATCAATGAACCTAGGCATACACAAAAGGAAATTTTTATTTTTATTTTCAAACTTTATATCATTAGAAATTACCATTACATATACCTTAAATCATTTGATTACTTTAGAAAATGCAGTTGAAATATACTATTGGTGATTTATAAGAAATTCAGTCATAAAAGGAGTAAGGATGACCAATTTTCACAGGAAATTGACATACTATATGTACAATGAACTTGAGTAGGTAGAGAATTGGGAAACCTCTGGAAGAAGTTAGAGGGGAAAGATCACAATTTAAAGAATAAGAAAAACAGGAAACTACTCTTTAATTTTTGTACCATTTCTTGCAATAATAAATTAAGAATGATGATATGATACTCCTAAGTCTTCTCAGCCATATATATTATATAGTCAGTTTGAGTAGAACTCTAAAATACTGAATAAGCTCTTTTTTTTACTATTTGCATGTTCAGTACCTTTATATAATATGATAATATATCTATTTGCATATTTTCAGTAGCAGAAATGGTCAATGATATGAACTATATTTAAATTTCCTTTAAGTGAAATTGCTAGTAGGATATGGCAATTATGTAATATTTTCAGAAAATGTATTTTAATTTATCTCATTGTTTATATACATTTTTTTTCAAGTCTGTGTCTATATAAATAAACTTGGAGATTGTGGCCCCTACCTGGATCCACAGAAAGTTCAGCAGCTGCCTGACCACTTTGGCCCAGGCCCTGTGAATGTGATTCTCCGGCGGACTGTGCAGGCCTGTGTGGATTGTGCCATTGACGCCAAGGCTGTGTTTCTATTTCTTAAGCCAGACACTCGAGGAGGAGAAATAATTACTGGTATCCTAATCTAATTCTTTATTCAACTTCTGTTCTAAATTTGATTTGAGGTTTAGAAGGGCAGACTATTATTGCATATAAATTACTTATAATATTTATATTATACTATAATATTTTATTATACTGCTAGAATAAGTATACTGGTTATATGCTTAACATATTTTAACTCTTATTTGGAAAGTTTACTTTTATCAAAGCAGACAGATGAGAGTAGGTATTATGGCATATACCTATTCCCCTTGTACTCAGGAATCTGAAACAGGAGGATTACTGTGACTGTAAGGACACTCTGGGCTATAAAGTGCCCAGTCAGCCAAGGCTATATAATTGAGACCCTGTGTCATACAAACAAACAAAAAACAAATAGAGAAAAGTAATATAATAGTATAAGTTTAAGTAAAAGACACCAATTTTTTCCTTGAACATGCTTTGATAAGCCAGGAATTTAGGCATGGTTGACATAAAGTTTTAATTTTTATAGAAAATCTCTAAGCAGCTTTAAAGAATAGTGTGACACAAAAGAAAAATCTCATTAAGATAAAATGAAAAGGCTAGGGATTGTAGCTCAGGGGTAGTATGCTTGCCTTGCATGTACAAGGCCCTGAATTTAGTCTCTAGCACCATAAAAATTTTAAAAAATAGGGTAGGATAGAATAGGTTGTAGCCAGTGTCTATCATGATTGTATAAGCAGATACCATCACATTTGTACTCAGGAGATGTTTAGAGTAGAAGGCTTACTATAAACCAAGCCATTTCTCTTACCCTGCTTATAAATGTTTAAAATAGAATTTTATCCATCCCTTTTTACATTTCAAAACCCAGAAAGTAGACTTAAAAGTACATCTCCTGAATTGATTCTTTTGTTATTGTATTTCTCATCTGTCTATGAGATGACTGATGACTGACATTACCTCCCCACTTCATAGCCGCCTTTGATGGGAAAGTTCATACCGTTGAGCTCCCTCCAGTGAATAGCGCATCATTTGCGCTTCGCTTTCTTGAAAATTTCTGTCACAGTCTGCAGTGTGATAAGTTTTTGAGCAGCCAGCCTTTCAACCCTAAGGCTCGTATTGATGCCCCTCCTACCGACCTTGATCAAAACAAACCAGGTAAAAAAATAAAAGTTTTTCATACTATATATTTAACGAAAGTGTGTGTGTGTGTGTGTGTGTGTGTGTGTGTGTGTGTGTGTGTGTGTGTGTGTGAGAGAGAGAGAGAGAGAGAGAGAGAGAGAGAGATGGGGGAAGGGGTTGGGAGCAGTACATATATAGAAGCCAGAGAATAAGTTTATAGAGTCAGTTCTCTCATTCCATCTTTGCATGGGTTCCAGGAATTGAACTTAGATCACCAGGCTTGCATATCAAGTGCTTTCTCTGCTGACCGTTTATATGCTTTTATTTTGCATTTTAAACTTGGGAATCTGTGTATTTCAGAGTTTTTCTGTAATCCTCACACATTTAGCTACACAAAACTAATGAAAAACATGTAGTATATAATTATACTTTCTTCACATAAAGTGGAGAAACTTAATTTCTTACTGTATTCCTAGTGAACTTGAGAATTAATACCAATGTGTTATGTTTTGCTTCTTTGTGACTAATTGATAGTTACACATTTTCTGTTAGGTTCCGGCATGGCTTTAACATTATTGACCTTAATCTAAAGAAAGCAGCAAAGACTATTGAGCCCATAGATTATAAAGAATAATTTTCTCAAAATTAGCTATGGTTACCTGTCTTTCATAGACCCTCAAACTGATGGCTGAAAAAAAAAATGAGTGTAGTGTTGTCTTATAGAACCAAATGTGATATTCTTGTTTCTGATCTCTACAGTGAAAAAGTTGTTGGAGCTTTTCGGCCACTTTTTGGAAGAAAAGTTTGTTATTCTTTCATATGACTATTGACAGGCAACCATGTTCTGGTTATAGTAGAAGTTTATGTATATCTTAAGAGTAGCTAAAAATCCAGGTATTAAGCTGCTTTGTTTTCTGGCCAAATGCTACCAATTCTGGAACTATGGAATACCATGACAGACTTAATCTGTTTAAGTCCAGTGTATTCCAATCAGGTAGAAGACTGGGGTATCATCTCCAGTTATTCATTTTCAGGTCTTTGTGATAGATCTCATTTTTTTCATCATAAACTATTGCCTCTGTTTCAGTGAAGTCTCTCCTGATGTTGTTTCCTCTCCCATTTCCTTGCCACTACCCTCATCCCATTCAGAACCCTATTGCCCCACCACTTCTCTGGTTTAGTTAAGTGATCTCCTAACTGGAGTCCCCTTCCTGGTTTCTCCCTGCTGGTAGAGCTGCCCAGTGAATCCCTTTGAAATAAAGTTATGATACAGGAAGTCCTTGCATGAAAGTACAATCCATAGTCATAGTCATAAGGTGTTGGAATTTATCACATTTGGGTTCCAATGCTGACTCTGTAACCTGTATACTAAAAGGACACGAATTTCGACAAAACGAAATTTTAATTCAAGGCCTGATGTTAATTAGAATTATACTTTATGGACAAAGTACTGATCCTCCCTGATTCTCAGTTTGCCTTTCTCCAAAGTGGTTACTTTCTGAATTGTGAGGAAATATGTATAGCCATGTCAGTTGACATAGACCTATAATCTCAACTACTAGAAAGGTTGAGGCAGTCCAAAGTCTATGTGAGATACAGTGTTGAGTTCAAGCCTAGCTTGGCTGCCTTAGTGAGATTCTGTATCAAAATAGAAAATAAATAGGGGATATAGCTCAGTGGTAGAGTGCTTGCCTGTTGTGTGTGTGTGACCACAGGATAAATAAAATTTAGGCATATTCTCTAAATATTTCTAAATTATTGAAAATACACACACACCACATTTTATTTATGTATGCATGTGTGTGAAAGTGCCCACAAAACCCAGATCTCTTGGAGCTTACAGGCATTTGTAAGCTGCCTGATGTGGGTTCCGGGATCTGGTCTCCAACGTTCTGATAGAGTAGTAAGGGCTCTTAGCTCCTGAGCCATCTCTCCAATCCAATTCTTTAATATATTATTTCAATAGAAATACCTAATAGCATACAGTGAGCCTGTTAATAATAGTCAAATAATTGACACTGTTGGTGAAGTCATAGCATGCAAATTACTTTGAAACAAAAGTACTTTGTGTCGATAATACAAAAATACCTGACTATAGTAATTATAACATGTACCCCTCCCCCCTTTTTTTTAAAGCAGTAGATGAGGAACTAAATGAAAGGAGAAGCCTCAAACGATCTCTGCGACCTCGACCTTTGGCTCCTGCCTCATCAAAGGCTCCCAGAAAGACTGGGCGACCCTCTAAAGGTAAATGGCATTCATTCTCTCTCTCTCTCTCTCTCTCTCTCTCTCTCTCTCTCTCTCTCTCTCTCACACACACACACACACACACACACACACACACCACACCACACCACACCACACCACACCACACCACACCACACCACACCAGAAATGAGAAAGAAAGTCCCTCAGTCACCACCTATTTATGCTCTTGGTGTAATGGTTTTGAGGGTAGGAAGTTAAATTCACCTACGTTTAGGTTACTACTTTGGTCACTGAGCACTGCATTCCTTTCAGAAATATATTTTGCCTGAGTTAAAAAAAATGACTTAGCATAGCCCTATCCATTCTGCTTTGTATTGCTTATATCTAAGAGAATGAGAGATAGAAAAGCATATCTGCTTTCTCCAATTAAAGTGTAAGCAAATGTGAAAAAACAACAGTATGGTCATGAGGAATAGTTCTGAAGAATTGTGCTCCTAAGAACAAATGGTTTTTAGAAGTTTACAGCTTTGGTGGCAAGATTGGAAAGATATACTAAATTGTCATAAGAAACATAGATGATGGCCTAGAATCAACATGGATTTTAGGATAGTGTCCATTACTATATATGATGGAAAAGAGCTGTCTGAGTATTTTGTGTTAGATGCTTGCCTTTCAGTAGAGCACTAACTGATCTGTTACTGGAAAGAAGGTATTTTTCTTGGTTAAGAATTGAACACATATATGTAATATATTTTAATCAATCCTTACCTCATTCCTTCCCCCTCCAACTCCTCTTCTACACCTACACCATTTCCTTCCAATTTCAAGGTTTCACTCTCTCGATTGTTGTGGTTATTATTATTATTTAAACCTACAGAATCCACATAGTTCAGCTATTATGTGCGTACATATGGGACTGTCTACTGGAGTGTAGATTCTCAGGGGCTGCATCCCTGAAGAAAACTGTCTCTCAGCAGCAATCAATTGTCAGTAGTTCCTTGGCTAGGGGTGAGACATCCTAAGCCCCTTTCATATGTGCTGGAATTTTTGTCTGGTTTAATCTTGTGTATGAAGTCACAGTTTGTTAGTTTATAAATGCAATTGCCAAAGTGTATCTAGAAAATACAGTCTTGTTGTAGTTATCCACTGCCTCTGGCTCTCATAATCTTTCTGCCCCCTCTTCTGAGATGATCCCTAGCTTTGGGGTCATAGTATGGTATAGATTCCACTTTAGGGCTGAGCACTCTGTAATCTCTTCATTCTGTACACATTGATCAGTTATAGGTCTCTGCTAATCTCCAACTACTGCAAAAAGAAGCTTCTCTGAGGAGAGTTGAGAGACAACACTTATTTGTGTGCATAAGTCTCTAGGAGTCAGTTTAATACTATGCACGTTTAGTAGAATAGCAGCATTAAATTCTCCCCTAGGATCTGTAACCTACCTATACTCAGTTCCTTGGCCTCATTAACATGCTAAACATGAATAGAATCTTCTAAAGAAGGCCTTAAATACAATAATACAATACAATCAGAAAGTGGTTACTTCCATAACATTCATACCACTATTGTACAGTACATATATCTTGATAGACCATAATTGTAATCACTTTCAGGGTTCATATGTGGGTAAGACTAGTCATTACTTTTCTCCCCTAATAGTGTGCCTAGCACCACCCAGTGTGATGAAAGCTAGCCAGTAGCTTACAGGTCAGAATATCTTTATTTCTCTTTAGCAAGTAGGGTCTTATCATCAAGGTCTGCGGGGGAGGAGTAACCAAGAGCAATAGTAATAGCCCTGGTTATAATATTTACTGGTCTATGAAGCCCCACTGACCAACCACTTGAAAAGAAATAACCTTTTCCTGCCACTGACATTTTATTTGATAGCCTATCATGTCTATGAGAGGCCCCATTTGAACTTTTTATGTATGTATATATTTTAGGAAGCTTGTACAGTAGCAGGTTTCCATTTGGCTTTTTCAAAAATCTTTAGTGTTAGTTCTCTCTCTCTGAAAATTCCCTCCTCTACTCTGCCCTCTAACCCCTAACTCACTTGATCCTTCATGCTCCATTATTCCCTGTTCCCTGTTAATATTTCCTGTGTTCTTTCTTCGTTCTCTTAAAAACACCCTCGTGGCCCCTTACTGGTTTCCTGACTTCTATGGGTACTCCAGGTTAAATACACATATCTGAAGATTCAAAACTAGAGTTCACTATGAGCAAAAATGTGAAATATTTGTCCAAGTCTGGATTACCTCACTAATAGTTATTTCTAGTTCCATCCATTTACTTGTGAATTTCATAAATTCATTTTTTATAACAGCTGAATAATATTCCATTGTATAAGTGTACCACATTATCATTCGCCATTCATTAGTTGATGCACATCTAATCAGTTGATGCACATCTCGGCTGTTTCCATTTCCTGACTCCTGTGAATACAGCAACAGTGAACATGGATAAACAAGTATCTCTGTAATAGGACATAGAGTCCTTTGAATATATACTCAGGAGAGTTATAGCTGGATCATTTATTTTTAAAGAAACTACATACGGATTTCCATACTGGTTGTACCAGTTTATACTCTCACCAATAGTGAATAAGTGTTCTCCTTTCCCCACACTCACACCAGCATTTGTTGTCCAACTTTTTTATCTCTTATCCATTCAAACTAGGGTAAGATAAAACCTCAAAGCAGTATTAATTTACATTTCCCTATGGCTAAAGATATGGAACAGTTTTTGAATGTTTCTAAGCCATTTGTATTTTGTCATTTGAGAACTTTACTTATTTAGTTACATGCCAAAAATGTTAAATTGAGTGTTTTGTTGGTGCTTAGTTTTTTTAGTTCTTTGTATATTCTAGATATTAGCCCTTTATGAGATGTAGATCTTGTGAAGAATTTTTCTCATTCTATAGACTGGCTCTTCACTCTAATGATGGTGTCCTTTGGTGTACAGAAGCTTTTAATTTCAGGGGGTCCCATTTTTCAATCATTGATCTTAAAGCCTGCACTACCCAGAAAAGGTTATTTCAATTAATGGTGTTGGTTGAACTGGATAGATACTCTAAATTGATCAAAGATCTCAACATAAGACCTAATACACTAAATCCGGGAACAATGTTAGCAACATGATTAGAGGTTGTTCTGGTGATATTTTGGATAAACTCAAGAGATTTCAGACGAGAACAATATTAGCAACTTGGCTAGAGGCTGTTCTTGTGATGTTTTGGATAAGAATGTGGCTTCCTTTTATCCTTGTCCTGAGGGTCTTCATGAGGTTAAATTAAAGTTTTGGATTAATTTCATCTGTAGAAGAGATTTCAAGACAGCTCAATAGTGACTCTGTCATGTGATTATTAGTGATCACTCTTATGCTGATCTACAATGAAAAAGAACAAGCAGGGCTACAAGAAATACAAAATACACAGTTTGAGTAGAAAAAGACCAATGGGAAATTTTATGGTGGAGCCTTGGTTTGTGCTGAAAATGATTAGGAGAATGGAATAAAGGGAATAGTGACCTCAGGGCAAGATCCCACCCAGCTAATTCTCCAACATGTGAAAAGGCCTAAGGTATTTATTTTATTCATTTTACAATACAATTCAGTATTTTCTGTTCCTTAAGAGCAACAACAAATCAAAGTTCAAGGAGGGAGCCAGGTTCCATCCCAAGCCGGTAGCAGAACTTGGCAGCTTCAGCCCATGCTCTGGTTTTAGAGTCAAGAAGGATACAAGAGTAAAGGGATTGTGGAATCTTCCTACACCATTAAGGAAAGCGGCTGATGCCAGGAGTGTGTCAGGGAAGTCTCTGCATGGAGGCCCGAAAGGCCATTGCATGAAGCTGTGAAAGTGAAGTCTGGATTATATTGGAGCCCCCAGGATGTTAGAGATGAACTGTAGGATACCTTCCAAGGAGAGCTGCACATAGTGAGTAGAACCAGTTCAAGAGAGAGAAAGGAGCCAGGTGGTGGTGGCGGCAGCGCATGCCTTTAATCTCAGCACTCAGGAGGCAGAGGCAGGCGGATCTCTGTGAGTTTGAGGCCAGCCTGGACTACAGAGCAAGACCCAGGACAGCCAGAGCTACACAGAGAAACCCTGTCTCAAAAAACCAGAGAGGGAGGGGGAAAGAGAGAGGGAGGGGGGAGGGAGGGAGAGATGTGTTGCAGTCAGCAAAGCTGGAAGGGCAGAGCCATCTAAGCCCTTTGACATCTGACACAGAACTACAGGATTTGAAGTTTTCCCTGCTAGGTTTCCGTCTTGCTTTGGTCCAGTATTTCATCACTATGGCCCTATTCCTCCCTTTTGGAATGGTAATGTGCATTATGTGCCATTGCATGTTGGGTGTATATAATTGACTTTTGATTTTACAGGGGCTTACAGTTAAGAAATCACCTCAAATCTCTGAAGAGACTTTGGACTTTTAAACAGTTTCAATGTTGATGAAAGACTATGGGGACTTTTAAAGTTGAACTAAATACATTTTGTATAATGATATGGCTATAAGCCTATGGGGACTATTGAGTGGAATGTGAAGGAATGAGAATGGCACCCATAGGCTCGTAGGGTTGAATATTTTGTCCCCAATTGCTAAAACTATTTGAGAAGAATTAGGAGGTGTAGCCTTGTTGGAGAAGATATGTCACTAAGGGAGGTCATTGAGGTTATAAAAACTCATGCCAATCCCAGTTGTTGTTCTCCCTCTCTCTCTTTATCTGTCTGTCTGTCTCTGTGTCTCTGTCTGTCTGCCTGCCTGCCTGCCTGCCTGCCTGCCTCATGTTCATGGGTCAGATGTCAGCTCTCAGCTACTGCTCCCGCACCATGCCGCCTGCCTATTCCTATGCTTCCCACTTTGATGGTCATGGACTCTAACCTTCTGGAACCATGAGCTCCCAGATTAAATACTTTCTTCTGCTTTTGTCATGGCAATGGAAAAGTAAGACAGCCGTCTAATAGTATTTGAGCTCTTGAAGATAATTTCTTTTCTCCCTGTAGTATTGTCTCCTGAGGGACATGGCATGTCTAAAATGAAAAGTTTTTCTGAAACTTCTAAGAATTCATCAGTAGGTGATTCTTTGTATCCTGCACATACTTCAGTCTCAAAGAGTGTTTCTGACATTGTGTCAAATACTCAAGTATACCCATAGTTATGAAAAAGTCATCTACTTCAAAGATATAAGTATATTAAATTCCAATGGAAGAAGAAAAATGAAGGTATATTCAAGAATATTTCCTAGCCAATGTATTTATATTTTTCCTTGAGGATTCCATGTCTGACTGTTCCTCCTGAGTACATCTTAAAATGCCAGAATTAAAGAGGTCAGGTTCTCTTTCACATTGGAAGGAACAATACTATTGTGGCTGTTCCTGTCCTCATGACATCACAGAACTGTCTCTGGGGATTTGGACCACCAACCATATTTGATAGAGAATTCTCAGAGTAGTAGTTCTCAAACAGGTTTAAGCAATTCCTGAGGTACTGTGAGGACTCTAAAACCTCTCATGACTCTAAGACCAAGAAGGACACATTCCTTCTCCAATTTTCTGATGGCTGTCATATCTGTTGAGACCTGGATCAGGTCTCTGGCAACCTGTTTCTGTAACACCATTCCCCTAATCACCACATCCTCTGTCAATCTCTTAAATCTTCCAAGAAAAGATGGAATCTTATTTCTGTTTAAAAAAAGAAAGAAAGAAAGAAAAAGAAAAACAAAACATAGCCTTTCCTGCTGATAACCATTTTAAGGGTTAAGAGTACAGGAGAGTGAAGGAAGTAATAAGTGTTCTAACCATTTTCTCTAGGCTGGGTTGAGCAGTAAAGAACATAGAAAGCAAGTGACTTCATTGTTTTTTTTAAATCATGGATGTTATCTATGAGCAGCCTCACTATACACTTCTATGACACATTTAATATTATCCCTTCTATCCTACCCCAACTCCTATAGTGATTGTTTCCGTTTTTAAAGTGATATTGTTTACCAGAGGTCTAAAGATTGATATTTATTCCATAGGAACTAATATGAAATGTTAATTCTAAGTTTATTAACTAAATATCAACTTGTGATAAAAGGCTTTCTTAGTAAAAGGATCTAAACAATTTTATTTGGCTGCATACATAATATCATTTTTTAAATTCATTGAAGAATAGCTACTGGTAAACATTTTCAGTGAAAAAGATCTCAGAAGTCACTTGACTATGATTCCTGAGACAAAAAGGTGGCTGGACCAATCCTTGAATCTAGACACTGGCTGCCTGCAGCTCTAGAGAAAAGATAACCGTTTCATTTCAAAGTTGTCTAGAGATGTCATTATTTTCTTTCAGATCCTGTTAGTGTTAGTTTAAGTTTACCTTATGGAGAAATTCCATGATAGTCAGGGAAAAATCAAATCACTTTATTTTAGATATATTTATTGATAACCCAATCTATAAAGGCAGGAAAAAGTATGACTGGACTTTCTTTTCTCATGATTAGTTTGTTTCATATATTTGAGTAGTAGCCATGTAGTATTTATAACCACCTCTGATTATTTTTGAAGACAAAACCCCAAATTTGTTTCAGTAATAGAGTAGAAACAGAAGATCTTATAGTCTTATTTTAATTTAAAATTAGTTTTATGCTAGAAATAATATCTTTACAATACAGTCTTATTTGTAAAGTAGTTACATGTTATGCAAGACATAACTATACCAAATTCTTATGACAGAACCTCTTTAAAACCTAGGTTGATTTAGAAATATGATGATTAACATTGTAAATAGTTAACGTTTGTGCCACTGATGAGTTAAAGATAACTGTTCTAACTGTCCTAATTCCCAAATGGTACAGCATTGTCTGTAGACTTGTCCAGCCTGGGGCTCATGGGTCACATGTGTACCAGGATAGCTAAGAATGTGGCCCAACAGACTTGTAGATGACATCATGTTGCAGTGTCAGAATGCTGGAAACTCCTGGCTTCATTGTCACCACTCACCTGAATTGATGAAGTCCAGAAAAAAAAAGGATTTTTTTTTGACAAGTTAAGGCTAGAATATATTTTAGTAGAGAATTCATGTTACAGTTGTGGTTTTAGAAAGGAAAGATATTAGAGCTACAACCCGAAAGCCATTATAATTTTGAACACCTTTTCTTTTCTTTATGCTTCTTGGGGTAAATACTCAAAGCACCCATAAATTTTATATGATCCAGATAATAGGAAAGAAATTATACACCTTTGACTAATTCATACCTAGAAATAGAAAACAGATTTTCCTAGCAAAGTCTAAAACCACCTTTAGTTATCATCACACACTAACAGGAGGAAGTTGAGCATTCTCCTTGAGTTAATGAGTATTTGAACACAAAGAAATTTCTACACAGTTTAGTAAACAGTACCTCTAAAACTTGAACCTCGTCAAGATGAATACCTTAGTTGTTTGTCTTGTTTCCTTTTTATTAAACATCTAATCAAAATAAATATCTATTGTCATATAGTGAAGCATAATAGAGGGATCAAATAAAAATACTAAAGCTACTTTCTGACTTAGCTGAGCAGGAAATAATTTTGTTTTCTGTAAAATTGAGATTAACTCTGAAGCCAGAGATAAGAATCTAAAGTGTAAAGGTGATGCTAAAAATGTCCATACTGAATAATTAAAGTGGTTCAAACAGTTGATCCCCTTCTCAAACATAGTGGGATTATTGAAATACATTTAATTAAAATTGAACAAATATAGGGAATTATAATCCTGTAAATTTGAGAGTCCCATAATATTTAACAAAATAAAGTCAACTTAGAAGAAAAAGATATTAAGAGCAATTTGTGAGAAGTTTGTTGGATCCGTTCAAGGAAGACAGTACTGAGTTAGCTCATTTTATCCCACTTTAATTCAAGTAGCACCTTTTCCTGTACTTGCTTGTGAACTAAGAAGCCTTGGATTGCTACACATGTTTCATGAACATTGAAGCTTTAAGATGCCTTCTAAAGTAAACTGTTCCTGTTCCTTGGGGGAAGTCCATTGACACACTTAATGCAGTGCTCCTCAGATCATCTTCCTTCAGGCTCTCATGAGATTTTACAGTTGGAATCTTGAGTCTTTATTTCGGTACTTAAGAGAAGGTTCCAGGAGTGAGACCATTACTTTCTACCTAACATCTCTTCTTTCAGGATTATGATCAGGTCAAGTATGATTTGTTTTTTTTCCCCTCCCATTGAAGCTTCAAGTTATATAGCTGTACCTGACCCCAGTGTCCTGAAACAAGGCTTCTCTAAGGACCCTTCAACCTGGTCTGTGGATGAAGTGATACAGTTTATGAAACATACAGATCCTCACATATCAGGCCCCCTCGCCGACCTCTTCAGGCAACATGTAATGTATCTTTTGATCCGGTTTTCCTGCTGCCCTAATGCCTTTGAATGACCTCTGTGCAGGCCTTTCAGTTTGACACTGAGTTGTATGGATGGTGGGGGAACCCTATCAACTGATCTTTTTCTTTTGTGAGAAAGATTACTTTGCCCAACATTCAGGCCTTAAATGGTAGGTTAATTGCCTGTTCTTTAAATGGGTATCCAAGTATCTAGTACACTAAACAGTTTTAGAATTTCAAGAGGTGGTAATACAGGATTGCCACTCTGATGCAGACCACCCCTTCTTATAATGACAAATACAAGAACCCTCCCCTGACCTGCTCCCTGTTCTACTCTAAGACTACGAGTAGGAGCGGTTGAACTACAGCATATGCCAGGGTGGCCTTCTCGTGATACCCAGTGAAACCAGCAACTCCATTATGATTTGAATACCAAATAATGGGCTTCTACAACATAAATTGTGTAATTACAATAATAAAGACTTTTTAAAGAATTCCTTGTGACTGTTAAGCAATGTGTTCACAATATTTTCTAACAAAATTATTGATTTAATATCTGGTATATACTATTTTATGTGGGCATGTATGTGTGTGTGTGTGTGTGTGTGTGTGTGTGTGTGTGTGTGTGCGCGCGCGCGCACTGGTGTATGCTGGTGCAAAAGCACATGTGTATGTATCTATGGGAGTTAGAGGACAATCTCAGGTATCATTTTCAGTAAGGCTATCCAAAATCCTTTAAGACAGGGTCTCTCATTGCGATGTTGGGGCTCATCAACTAGGTTACACTGATTGGCCAGTGCACCCCAGGGATTGTCATGTCTTTACCTCTTCAGTGCTGGGATTAAGTACATGCCACTATGTCTGGCATTTTTACATGGATTCTGGAGGTCCAACTCCAGTCTTCATGCTTTCAACACAAGGGCTTTACTGACTGAGCAGTCCTTCCCAGCCCCAGCCCCTCTTCAATATTTTAAGTAAATCAATATTTGTTTCAGCACCTAACTAGCTTCAGACAGCTGATTTGCTTTCAACATGAAGATGAAACTGTATAGCATGTTTACAGTTTACATTGATACTGACATACTCCTTTCCCTTCTCAGAAAGTTAATAACGTGAAGTTCACTTCTACTATTCATAGTCTTTAACCATTTGTCATAAATATGTGGTAGTATTTTGTTCAATACACAGTAAAGTCTGATACTTTGGAAATACTGGGTTAAACCTTTTTCTTAAAATTTAGATTGTTTACAAATTATCAAATGATGCTCCATTGTAGAGATCAAATTTTATTAGTTTTCATAGAAATATATTCTGAGAATATATATATATATACATACATACATAAATATTTGAAACGTACTGTATTTTATACATTCTTGTAAGTAAATAACTTAAACTGTGGAAGAATTTTTACTGTAATTTTCTTTTCTCTGTAGGAAATTGATGGGAAAGCTCTGCTACTGCTGAAGAGTGAGCTGATGATGAAATATATGGGGCTGAAACTAGGACCAGCATTAAAACTATGTTACTACATTGAAAAACTTAAAAGTAAAATATAATTGAAAATGTGCAAATTTAGATTAGAGACAATTCTCAGGTATACTGAAAATATTTTACCCTAAAAATTGTTTTCTTCTCATCAGTTTTTGTTTTATAAAAGTTTTTATAAAAATGTTTTATCAAAATTGTAGTACAGTTACATTGATAGTATACTTTTACTTTTAAACACCATTGAATATGTTTTATTAGCATACTTATAACTGGCAATTTATTATTTATGTCTTTAATTATTTTTATTGTGTTTACAAGTGTACTTCATGTAGCAAACAGAGGAAAACCTTTTATTTGGATTAGTCTTTATATCTAGAACCAAATACCTAAACCCCAAAGGGGGAAAATGCCAGCAACTTAAGTTCTATTATAAAAACATGAGAATTTTTTTTCAAAAGAGAATTTAAAGATGCACTTAACTCTCAACTCCTTCCCAATTATTTTATATGTCTATTTTACAGTGTTTTGTTTATGATATACTACTACTAGAAAGGGAAGAGCCATATAAATTATTTTCCTTTCTGATGGTGCCCTTGGTGGTGTATTTGTTCATACAAAGGGGGGAAAGCAAGTTTATAAGCTTGCATAAAGTGTTCTTAGTAGTCTTTGTTCTTACTAGTATTTTTTTAAACTGTGGGATAGATTAAAGTGAAAAATTGTGTGCAGGAGATGTATATTCTCCAAGAGTGAATTGGATGCAATTGGACAAACTTTATAACTATTTTACAATTTTCTGTATTTTTGCTAAGCTCGAACATTAGACATTCAATTCTGACATCTCTATTTCCAAAATATTTGTGTCCAGGTTTTAAAAATGTGTTTTATTTTGTGCTCATTACTCGTACAGATACTTTAGCATATTTATATACTATTCTATATCTGTGAGAATACACAAGTGATCTTTTGATTTATTATGGCACTTTACACTGCCACAGAGGTAATAAAGAACTATATATAGATGTTTATTCTATTAAAAATATGTACATCATTTTGCTATCACCAGTACCTCTCAACTTATTATTCAGGTGATAAGAAACTCTACATAGATTGGCTCCCACACAGGGAAGCTCTCTATCCTATGCAATATTTCTAATTAATTTACATAGTTCTGAGCCATCTATTCTACTACATATTAAAAGATAACATTGGTTCTGACATCGGGGCTCTATTTTTATAAATGAGAGCTTTCAAAAGAAAATGGTGTTGCATGCCATTACTTTATATAGTGGTGTAATACATTATAAGCTATGAGAATCAGTTATATATGTATTAGCCATTTGTTCTAAATGTCAACAAAATGTTCACCAGGACAAGAATGTACATTTTGCTCTTTAGAATACCAAATGTGTTTTATATAACAATGCAAATGTATAAGAGATTACTTCACCTATGTCATTTCTGATACGACTAGATTCTTACTTAAACTTGATCTTCTTGCAAATTGTTTGTATGAAGATGCTATGTCCAGTTGAATGGTCCTCAGGTGTTTATAATACTGTTTTATAAACCTGATTTAAAGAATATAATAAATAACCACAGCAATTAACACCTAAGCCTGAAATTTTATTTTACTTACCTTCTTGACAGTGTGTTAGTATATGAGCTTGTTAGTCTTGAAAAAAGGGACTTTGAGACTACTTACTAGTGTACTTAAGAGTAAAACTCTGATTTTTCCATACTACAGGAGAGATTTTACTTGAAGTTTTTTGTGTAAATGAAGTAGGTTGAAATTTCTGGAGCTCATTCTACAGGCTGAAGCTGTCACATCTTATGAAGTCCCCTGAGACTGACCCAATGTGGAACAATGTAGGATAGAATATATACATACACAAATGCTCATCATCAGAAGACATGGCAGACAATCTTTCTTTCCTTTACATCCTTTGTATTTCAGAATTTCACATGAACAATAAAGTTAGGATACCCTTCTTGAGTGTACCCAAAGTGATCTATCACTAAAGTATATCTTCAGCCCTTAGTGTTTTCATCTGTATAACTTAAACTGACCTTAAAATCACAATGTTTCAGCCTCTGTGGTGAGAGAATTGTATGAGGTATGCTTACTATCCACTTAGAGACTTATTAGTTGATATTAATATTTTATTTTTAAATAAAAAGGTAAAGTGAGGATATGGAGAAATTAGAGCCCTTCTGTATTACTAGTGGAAATTTGAAGTATAGCTACTGTGTAAAACAATTACTGTATTATATAGCATGTCTCAAGAATTTTACAAGTATCAGTATACCATTGCTTAGGATATCAGTATTCCTAACAGTCAAAAGGTAAAAATGAGTATCATCAGATGAATGGAAGAAATGTGAAACACACTGTATACATACCTGCGTGTGTTATTTAGTCTTTAAAAGGAATGATACTTTGATACACACTACCAGATGTATTACATTTAGCTAGGCACAAGGACAAATACTGTATGAATCTACTGAAACTCTGGGGAAATAGAAGTTACCAGGGCATTGTTGAAAAGGGAATGGGGAGGTACTGTTTAATTGCCCCAGAATTTCAGCATGTACTGAAAGAATAATTCTGGACTCAGATAGTAGCAATGATTGTACAACATTGTAGATATACTTAATATTCTTTGTATATTTATGGTAGGAAAAGTAGTAAATTTGTGCATACTTATCAAGGTAAATTAGAATAAAAGAAAACAGGGTTGAAGTAGTAGATGTGAAATGATATAAAACTTAAAGCATTTTTTCCTTAGCAAATTCTCTCAGGACTCATGTAGTAGAAGAGTTCCATTTTAAAGTTAGGGCTTTCTTAAAATACCTAGGCTGATTATTTCATCAGTTCCTCTTTCAATCCCATGTCTCTTAGCAGCTGTCTTTTGCTTACCAGCAACCAAAAAAATCAAAATGAATAAATAAATAAATAAATAAATAAAAAACAACCTCAGAATCAACACAGTAACACACAGGATCAAGTTTCCCTGTTTATATCCCATCTTAAGTGTCTTTTTCCCTCTATATTACTTCTACTTTCTAAAGACTTATTTTTAAACATTTTTTTATAACTCGATACCCTTTCTTCTTAAGCCTACATACATTTTTAAGCACACTGTTACCTGTTTAGAGGTTTTTCCATCTTGACCTCTTTTACTGCATCTATTTCAAACTTTTTTGACCGCATGAACCTTTAAACTGCTAAGTGGCATAGCTAGGACCTCTGCACAGCTTTTGTGGCTGGTTCTGCCCACTACTTGGGTCATGAAAGCCAAGCCTAAAGCCTTGTTGAAGGTTCATTTGACCAGGAACTGCATTCAACCCCCCAGCTCTGGAATGCTGATGCTTGCACTGTGGCAGGCATATTTTACTTAGATTTTTGTTTTATTTTTACTTGTGCAAGGGCTTGCTGTGAGGCAGAAACTCTTAGAGGAGTTGTGTCTTGTTTTTATAGCTTTCTCTGGCCCTATATAGAAATATGGGCCCATGTTGGAACACCAAAATGTTGTTGGTTGGTTTGTTATTTTTAAACTCTTTACTCTTTGGGAGACCTGCAACCTAGCTCCCAAATAATCACATGGAGACTTACTCTTTCTTATGAATGCCCAGCCTTAGCTTGGCTTATTTCTAGCCAGCTTTTCTTAAATTATTCCATCTACCTTTTGCCTCTGGGCTTTTACCTTTCTCTATTTCAGTATACCTGTTCTGTCCTTCTTATTTCATGTGTTCTGTCCTTATCTCATCATCATCTCCTTTTCTTTCTCCTCTTTCCTATTTCTCTATTTATTCTCTCTGTCTGGCAACCCCCCCCCATTTCTCTCTTGCCTAACGATTGGCTGTTCAGCTCTTTATTATATCAATCAGGTATTTTAGAAACACAAAGTAACACAGTTTCACAGAGTTAAATAAATGCAACACAAAAGAATGCAACACATCTTTGCATCATTAAACAAATGTTCCACAGCATAAACAAATTTAACACATCTTCAACTACTATTCCATAACAGAACTATATTTCTATATCCCACATATATCAGAAGCTTTTCTCACTATTTAAAGCAGCTTATCCCTTATAATGATTTGGAATCTCAAGCTCCACATTGTTGTCCATAATCCCCTTGGGCCCTGAGATCTTTCCAGGTAGCTATGATACATGTCATGTTTGATCCTCTTGCTGTGGACTTTGTTCATGGGTCCACTCCTTTCTATAACGGTGTCTGACAAAGGAGATGAGGAAATGGATCTTTGGTAAATAGCAATTTCAACTGCTATTGATCCTAATAACATACACATACCATAAATGCCTCCTTTAAACCGGTCAAATCTCCCTGTTCCATTTCCAATGTACAGGTATACCCGGCTCTTCCCAGCCTCTGCTTTATTTTATTTCATTTAACCTTGTGAATTTTTATATTGTTCCCAGTTGATATTGCATCCTATTGTGAACTCTTGTTTGTCTAATGGGCACAAGTGCCTTAAGACCACCACATCCAACTAGAATCCTTAAACACTGGCAAATGAATCTCAGGTGTATTTTATTCTGCCACAAGAGTGGTTTACACCAAATAGTTGCTGCATTAAGACTGGGTTGTGTTGACAGCAATGAGGCTGAGCTAAAGGCATTCTGTCATCTTCATATTACATGAACAAGTTAGTCAGTGAATATGTGTCACTGGGATTTGGGGACTTTTGTGGTTCAAATATATGGTGATATGTAACTGATACACTACTTACATCATCAGATTAGTTGTACATTGACTGTCTTTTGCCACTAAAGTGAATTCTTCAAGGGCAGTGAGTTTCATTAATTTGATTATTGTTACCTAGCACATACATAGTCCAGTCATACATTGAATGAGTAATCTTGGGAATCAAATATAGGTTGGCGCTTTAGTACTAAATACATAAGCTTTCCACATAAAAGTATTGCCATAAATTGCTATTTAATCTTTAGATTTTGTTTGAATGTTTTTGCTTCCTGTTTTAAATATATTCTGTAAGGCACTGAAACAGTAGAAAGAAGTGAGTAAAAGTCCTTATCAGTCATGTAGGTTAACAGGATGTTTTGCTGACAGCCACTGAGGCTGCCATTTCTCTGAACCTGACCTGGGGAAAGCTTTGTCATTGGGGTTCTTGACATAGCTGTGCTCATGTTAAGAATACACATTTACTCAGGACATAAAATCCCCACAAGCCCTCTATTTTTAGTTTTAGTGGCTTATTTTTTAAAGTAACTATGTGAGAGGGGCTGGAAAGATGTCTCAGTAAGTAAAGTGTTTGCTATGCCTTCATGAGGACTTGAGTTCAGATACCCAGCATCCATATAAAATTCCTGTAATCCCTGCAGAGACAGGGGAGGCAGAGACAAGGATCCCTTGGGCTTGCTGGCCAGTAAAGGATTTCTGAATGCCCAACAATAAAAAAATTTATTGGAAACCAAATACATAAAGAATCTGAGGTGTTTCTGATAGCATATGCCTGTGTTGCATCTCTGTACTTGTAACCTCAATTCTGACCATGCAACATGCACTTTGCACTATGCATTTTTATTACACCATGCAATGCCTACCAAATACTACCTGAAACATCTCAGCTCAGATTCAAGACCACTGTATGCTATAGACTGCAGTGTTTTTATTATACATACAAATTTTTCTGCTCTGATAGAAACATAGTGGTTGAATTATGGAAAATAAGACTAACATTTTTCCTACTGTGATAGTTACTTTTTGTAAACTTAACAAAAGCTAAGAGTAGTCTGGGATGAGGAAACTTTAATTGAGGAATTGCTTCCATCATATCGACCTGTAGGCAAGCATGTGGACCATTTTTTTATTAACAATTGATGTGGTAGGACCTAGCCCACTGTGGATGGTGTCACCTATATTTTATAAAATAAAATAAACCATTTCCATACCTAGTTTTTTTGCTAGTGTTTTATTACAGCAACAGAGAAGCAAAGACACCATCATTCTTTAGTGTGTATCAAATTAGTTTATCATTGGATGGGATCGTGTTAGAACGTTTGATTAGTAGCACGTATCTTTAAACCCAGCACTCAGGAAAGAGAAACAGATGTACATAGCTAGTTCCAGGCCAGCCAGGCCTACGTGGTGAGAATCTGTCTTTTTTTTTTTTGTTTGTTTGTTTGTTTGTTTGTTTGTTTGTTTGTTTTTCGAGACAGGGTTTCTCTGTGTAGCTTTGCGCCTTTCCTGGAACTCGCTTTGGAGACCAGGCTGGCCTCGAACTCACAGAGATCCGCCTGCCTCTGCCTCCCGAGTGCTGGGATTAAAGGCGTGCGCCACCACCGCCCGGCCGAGAATCTGTCTTTTTAAAAAATGAAACCATTCTTATCGTTTTGTACTATGTATTTATGGGAAGTAGTGGTCTCAGCATTAATGATTATAACATCAAAGTATTGATCAAATTTCAAATTATTCAGTTAAGATTTACAAGCATATCTATTTAATCAGTATGCAAATTTGCCTTAATCTATGATAAATAGTAAAATTGTATGTACAGCAAAGGATTATTTTTAAACAAATTTCCTTAAAACATTCTCTGTAAATGCTTTATTTGTAT